GCCGCGAGGCCCGCCGGCCGTCTCCCCCCAGTGGAGCGTGCCATCGCACGGGCCTGGAGCTGCAAGCGCGCGAGGGGACGAGGCTGTGAAGTCTGACGCCACGTTGGCCAGTGGAAGAACGTTCCTCGCTTCCCAAAGTGAACTCCTGATGTGATTCGTTGGTCCTGCGGCTCCCTTTCTTTAAGAATGGGACGGCAGAGGAAAAAAAGCCTCGATTACACGTTCTGACTCAGTAAAGCCCATTTGTTATAAAGTCGCTTTTCCTGCTAAAACCAACAAATACATTTTGCGTGTTAACAGAACATGACCTACGTTATGATAATAGCTTCTGCTTTAAAGCCAGGTGCCTCCCAGCTCCCACCCACGAGTTAGGGGGGTGGGGTCGGCCCCCAACCCATGTTTAACAGACGTTCTAGACACTGCTGCTGAGGGTGCCTGTGGACTGGACACGGGGAATTGCAGGTCGACCTGCACTGAGGGACCTTTCAGAGAATCTGGTTCTTATCCGTTTCACCCACAAATGACGATGAGCACACCTGCGAACCAGGCTTGCCCTGGCGCTGGGAGGCGGGTTTCTGTCTGTGCTGACCGCAGCCCGGCACCCAGCCACGCGCCTGCAGGATGGCGGGAGGCCACGCAGGTCCCGGCCACGGGCAAGCAGCGTCCACCGCGTGGGCCAGTCAGGGAGGGGGCCTCGCCGTCCTCCCCATGCTCATCGGTCTAACCGACCTCTGGCCTCGCGAGTGCCAAGTGGAGCGCTGGCACCCTCAGCGGTGGGTGGGAGGGGGGTCAGGGGTCCTTCCTGGAGAAGCAGCCGCGTGTAGTGATTTGCATGGGGTCTCCTCAAATACAAAACGGTCGAGTACCGAGCAGCAGCTTTCTGCCCGGCCAACGCCGAGAGAACACGCGGGCTGGCCAGTCAGCGTCCTGTCCCCACCAGGCCCAACCCCGAGGAGGAATCGGGAAGACAGCAAACGGGTGGCCAGTCCCAGCGGGGGACACCGCACAGAGGGTGGCGGTTGGGGCGTCTGCTCTCGTCATCTTGTGTGGAGACGTGACTTCCGGGCCTGGAGCAGCCACTGGTGTCTAGGTTGACTGGCCGACCAGGCCAGCAGCGGGCATGGGTCAGAGCGGCCCTCACGCCATCCGGGCAGGGGTGGGTCCAGTAACCCGGCCTGAGTCCCCGATAAGCAACTCACACTCAGGAGAAGCCTCCCGGGCAAGACCGAGTGGACGCTGCTAGCCAGGCTGGCCGACGTGCACGTGTTCCAGTAAGGATGGACGGGTCATCCAGTTGGCCGCACAGAACGCTACGTCGCATGTTCAGCGAGAATGTCACCACCGCCCAGTTGGCTGGCACAAGCTACCCGCTGAGTGGTGACCGTGAGCCAGGCTGCCGGGCGCAGCGGGGAGGGCGGCCTCACCCTCCCATGGGCCTCGCGATGCCACGCAGGCGGCTTCACTCATCTGCTTGGACCGCGGGGTCCCTCTGTCCTTCAGACACACGAGGCCCTGGGCTCTGGGGACGCGGCCATGGGCCCCACACAGCTGCCCCGCACCCCACATCCCGCGACACACCCGGCACTTCCCGCTTCCTCCTCCAGGCTCACTCCGGTCTCGGCACGCGGGCTCTGTGCCCCCATCACTCCAAGGCTGTTCTCGCCCTGGGTCACAGGTCAGTCCGCACGAGCCCTGGAGACGGAGCGCGGATGCACTGTCCACCTCTGCAGCTCTGACGCGCGCCCAGTCGTAATTCCACTCACGGCCGAAAAGTCTAAAGAAGCCGCTGAGGATGAATTTATTACTATGGCGACTTTGTGATACAAGGATAATTTGTTCTAAAATGCCACGTTATTAGTGGAAAAATTGTACTTACAGGTGACAAGAGGTCTTAGAAGACAACGAGATTGACTTTCAATATCTTTTCTTATTTTAACACTAATATATGCTTTTGAAAAAAAACAGAAAATATTCAAGAGAAAATGAAATTCAGCCACAAATCCACCACCCAGAAATAGCCGTCGTTAACATTTGGTGCCTTCCTGCATTTGTTTTCCTTTGCTGTGCGTGATGGTTAATTGCATGTGTCAACGTGGCTAGACAACGGTACCCAGATGTTTGGCTGAATAGCTGTCTAGGGCAGGGGTCCCCAACCTCCGGGAGTGGACAGGTACCCTCTGTGGCCTGTCAGGAACCGGGCCGCACAGGAGGAGGTGAGCGGTGGGCGGGCGAGCGACGCTCCATCTGCACCTGCAGCCGCCCCCAGCGCCGGCGTCACGGCCTCGGCTCCGCCTCAGGTCATCAGATCTTAGATGCTCACGGGAGCACCCGTCCCGTGTCACAGAGGCTGCCCTAGACGGTGCGGGGAAGGTGTCCTTTCGGACGAATGCCGGTCTGCGCGCACATTGGCAGGCTTTCAGCGAGGCAGATTTCCTCCACGGTGGGGGTGGGCCCCATCTAATCAGCTGAAGGTCTCCTTGAGGAACAGAAATCCCACTACACGCTGCCTCGACTCGGGCTGCAGCCCCGACTCCTCCCCGGACCTCGAGCCCGCAGGACCTGCACTCAGCCCGCACACGTGCGAGCCCGTTCCTAAAGACACACCTCTGTCAGGTGTGTCCACGAGATTCATCTTCGACTGTGTGAAGGGTCAGCGCCCTGAAGCTGTGATCAGATGCGCACGCGTGTGCACATACGCGCGCACACGTGTGCCCTGACTACACACGCGTGACGGCGACCACAAGCTCAGTCACTTCGCGAGCCGCTCCTGCCGCTCGCGCTGGAGCTGCAGGTCCCGCGTCTGGCCCGACCATAGACGGGCATCCAGGCGCCAGTGGGCCGAGCTCGCACCCCCGCCCACAGTCACTCAGGTGCTGGCACAACGTGGCTGCTTGTGGGGACAGGACGGAGGCCCCCTTTCCTCACTGTCTGTCGGCCAGGCCCTCTCGACTCCCGGAGGCCCCTTCAAGTCCTTGCCACCGGACTCTCCATCTTCGAGGCAGGAGTCACCGGCAAACCCTCCCGCATCACCTCGGCTTCTCCTGCCACCGGCCGGGGCCAACTCTGCTCCCCCGGCTTGTGTGACTAGGTCAGGGCCCAGTCCTGACCACTTGCCACGCGAGGCGCAGCATGGAGGTGGGGGGAGGGCAGTCGCACCACAGCTCCTGGGCCCGTCCGCTCCTGAGGGGAGGGGACCGCCAGGACAGGGCCCTGGGGTCCAGCTCCGTTCTGCCCGCCTCGTGCCCTCGCAGACTCTGCCGTGGAGACCGGGGCGCGGGCTCGTGCTGCAGCCTGCTCTACGGACGCAGCAAAGCAGCCGCCCTCACGCGAGGCCAGAGTCCCTGAGTGAGTGTTTCGTTTCTCCGTTAATAAATACCCCGTGTTTCTAATTATTTTCTACAAATAACAAGGGAGGAGCAGAAACTCTCCTAGGGCTTTAATATTTTTTTTAGTTAAATTTTTTGTTGAAATCTTTTTCCTTGGGATTCCACAAGTGGAATTAAATGTTTTCGATATGTATTGCTGAATTTCTCGATTAGAGATTTTAAAAGCATTTTTATTCTAATGAAAATGGTCACTTCCAAAGCAATTTAATATAACTTCACTTTTTTTCTAAGAGTGGTTTCTGCAACTTTTAATTAGTTATTTAGTTTAGGCGCCTATTTAACGTCCGAGTTAGGGATCTATTTATTCGTGTAATTACTTCGCAATGATCGTGTTTACATGTCAGCCCTGAACACGTACTTACTGGATGACACGTCGATAAAGGGGCCCAGACGTCAGCGTCACGCTCCGAGGAGACGTGGGTCCCGCGCGCCAGGCCGTCCTCGCCGCGTTGGGGACGCCCACACGTGACGTGACGTGTGAAACTCGTGAAAGTCGCTGCTGCTTCCGGGTTAGCGTTGGCTCCATTTTCTTTAACGCTGTCTCAGATCTTCCAGCTCTGCGCCCGCCACCTCCCGGTTCTGATCCGTGTCAGAGAACCTGCCCGGTGGGCAAAGGAGCATTCAGAGGGCCCACCATGCGGCCACTGCCAGCCACCTGGAAGTCTGTGTCGAAAGAACGGTGACCCTCAACACTCATCCCTGAGCAGGTGTGACGCTCCGTCCGTCCGTCTGTCCGTCCATCCGTCCATCCCTCAGTGCTCCGCCAACAGCCCCGATGACGCCCGCGGTCACGTGGTGAGACGGCTGTGGCAGGGGCACAGACGGGCCCGGCGGGAGGGGACACCACACTGTGACCGTGAGCATCGGACCGATGGCTCGGCTTCTAGGAAAGTGAGACCTCATGTCATCAGAGCTGGGAAAAACAGAAAACTGACGACATTTTCCCTGAGTCTCTGAATCTACTTCCAAATGCGGGGAGGGAGAGGGGCCGGCATTTCTGAGCTTAGTGCAAAGCGCGTGTGAAAACGGGGGGAAGGGAGGGAGTCGGCAGCGGCCGGATGTGCCCCGGAAGCCTCTCTCTCTCCACCTAATTCACGCGACCCCGATCACAGCGAGTGCGATGTGAACGCGCAGCAGCCAGAAGCAGGGTGGCCAGGGGCGCGGTGCGGCCGAAGACGTGCTCAGGTCGTCCCTGTCCCAGAGCGTCCGTACTGAGTCAGCGCCCGGCTGGAGGAGAGGGACCTGACGTGCAGACCGAAGGGAGCGGAAGGGTGAGGCCAACCGCGAAGCTGCGAAGTAATGAGTTACATGGCGGGAAAGCGAGAGCCCGGGCCGCCAGCGGGGCGCGGACCCAGCTTCCCGACACCCCCGCACGACAGGCCACGGGGCCGCGTGCCCGTCCCGCAGGGTCGTCCGTGAGCTGTGCTCCTGGAGCTGAACAGGCTCCGGACAGGAGTGGACCAGCGCCGGGCTCCGCAGAGGGACTGGCCTTCGGGACGAGGCCACCCCGTCCAGCAGGAGTCTCGAGCCGCTCCTCAGAAATGTGATCGTCTGTGGGGGTGTCCGGCCACGTGCTCAGGGACACGAGGAAGACGAGCCATAGGACAGTCTCAGCAGAATCCTTACAGACGCCTGCCGGGTCTGCCACGCACACGCCAGACTGCTGCCCGCCGGTGGGGAGCCGGGCACAGCGCCCGCGGCCACTCCCGCCCCTCGGTCGCGGCCTCCCGCCCAGACAGCGCACGTCTGAGACGCTCCCAGCGACTCAGAGTCGGGGAGTCTCGACTCGTCAGGGCTGTACATGCGCAATGCAGGTGCTGGCGACAGCTCCGCCAAACCCTGTGCCTCCGGCCACGGAGGGAGGCCGGGGTCGCCAGCCCGCAGGTGACAGTGGGAGCTCTGTGAGGGCGTCACGGGGACGCCCACGGCTGCCGACACCTGGACGGCCGCACTCCAGGCGTGTGGCGCTCCGAGGAGGCCAGCCTGCGTGCCGGTCCCTTTTCTGATTCACTCAGGAGTTTCAGGAATTGGGAGACTGTGAATTAGCTTTTAAACTGATGATCTTTGTTTTTAGAATCTTGAAAAGCGATTATTTTACTGGTGCCCTTAGTAGCGACTCATTTATTAAGTTGATTAGCAATGATCCCTGACAAGCGATTCCCAAGCAGTTAGTCTGACTCATTCGCTCGGTGCATACGCAGCGCAGGTGACCCAGAGAAGGCACGGTGGCGACGAGGAACAGGCGTCTGCTGGCCTCGAAGGATGCAGGCTCCTGGGGACGGTGAGTCAGCGGAGGCAGAGGACAGTGTGGCGACGAGGAAGCTCGCTGCAGGACCGTGCACGCGGAGACGCCCAGGGGAGGCGACCCCGGAGGAGGCGACCCCGAGCTGGGTGCTGAAGGACGAGCAGGGGCGCGGGGGTGTGGAGACCGCGGCGCCCTCAGGGAACGGCCAGCAGCCCGGCGGGCCTGGGTGCGGGTCTCCAGTCTGGGGGCACGTGCCGGCCGCGCTCAGGGGACACTTCTGCGGGGCG